TCAGGAGTGACTTTAGGGTGCCGTACGTGAGGACTAGAATGTGGCAGGAGTGTGGGGAGGCGGTAGCAAACAGTGAGAGAAACAGGAGTACCCAAGAGAGTAACAAGGCACCCCTTCAGAGCCAGTCTTCACATATTTGACAGTTCAGGTAGGAAGAAATGACTTTTCTATTCATAAACATGTAACAACTCTTTGTATTCCAAATAAGACATGCATTAAGTACCCTGAACGTAATATATCATTTTGCCCTATTTGGAGTTGCTGGCGGTGAATTATTTTAAAGATAGTCTCTGAGATGTGTGAAGCTATAGCTTTGTTCATCATGGACAAACATGGGGAAACCAGAGGCAACTGGCCCCGTGTTTCATATTATTCACGTATGGTCTCAACACATATCAGTGCCTCAGGCTGTGTCGCCCAGGCTGGAGTGCAATGGCACAATCTTGGTTCATTGTCGCCTCGATGTCCCGGGCTCAAGCAATCCTCCCACCTCAGCCTCCCGAGTAGCTGGAACTACAGGTGCACGCCACCACACCCAGCTAATTTTTTGTATTTTTTGGTAGAAACGTGGTCTCTCTAGGTTGCCCAGGCTGGTCTTGAACACCTGGACTCAAGTGATCTATCTGCCTCGTCCTCCCAAAGTGTAGGATTACAGGTGTGAGAGACCGCACCTGGCTGTGGGGACGCTGTGGAGGCACTGTGATGTGCTGTGGGGGTGCTGTGGGGACGCACTATGGGGATGCTGTGGGGACGCCCTGTGTGTATGTTGTGGGGATGCTGTGAGGGTGCACTGTGGGGATGCTGTGGGGGTATGCTGTGGGGACATGCTGTGGGGAAGTGCTATGGGGGTGCTGTGGGGACGCGCTGTGTTTATGCTGTGGGGACGCTGTGGGGACGCCCTGTGGGGACGCTGTGAGGGTGTGCTGTGGGGACGTGCTGTGGGGATGCTGTGGGGATGCTGTGGGGGCGCTGTGGGGACGTGCTGTGAGGACACTGTCGGGGCACTGTGGGGACACGCTGTGGGGACGCCCTGTGTGTATGCTGTGGGGATGCTGTCGGGGCACTGTGGGGACACGCTGTGGGGACACCCTGTGTGTATGCTGTGGGGACGCTGTCGGGGCACTGTTGGGACACGCTGTGGGGATGCGCTAGGGGGATGCTGTGGGGACGCGCTGTGGGGACATGCTGTGGGGACGCGCTGTGGGGACATTGTGGAGACACACTGTGGGAACGCTGTGGGGATGCGCTATGGGGAAGCACTGTGGGGATGTGCTATGGGGACGCGCTGTGGGGACGCGCTATGGGGGCGCTGTGGGGTCACGCTGTGGGGACGCACTGTGGGGACTCCCGGTGGGGACACGCTGTGGGGGCACACTGTGGGGACGCGCTATGGGGACGCGCTATGGGGGCGCTGTGGGGTCACGCTGTGGGGACGCACTGTGGGGACTCCCGGTGGGGACACGCTGTGGGGGCGCACTGTGGGGACGCACTGTGGGGACGCGCTATGGGGGCACTGTGGGGTCACGCTGTGGGGACGCACTGTGGGGACTCCCGGTGGGGACACGCTGTGGGGGCGCACTGTGGGGACGCTGTGGGGACGCCCGGTGGGGACGCTGTGGGGACGCCATGGTCCTGCGTTCGCACAGACCCCACCCATCTAAATCCTGCCTCCTGCATTCACTTGCTGCTCAGTCATAGGCGAGTCAGCCTGTTTCCTCATGAATAAAAGGACAATAAGAATAATAAGACCAGGCCAGGCGTGGTGGCTCAAGCCTGTAATCCCAGCACTTTGGGAGGCGGAGGCGGGTGGACCACCTGAAGTCAGGAGTTCAAGACCAGCCTGGCCAACATGGTGAAACCCCATCTCTACTGAAAATACAAAAATTAGCCAGGCGTGGTGGTGCATGCCTGTAATCCCAGCAACTTGGGATGCTGAGGCAGGAGAATCACTTGAATCCAGGGGGCAGGGCTTATAGTGAGCCAAGATCACGCCACTGCACTCCAGCCTGGGTGACAGAATGAAACTCTATCTCAAAAAAATAAAAATAAAAAACCAGAATCCTAAGTCCACAGGTGGATCTGCGGATTATATGACCAAACCTCCACGAAGCCGCCAGTTTGGTGCCTGGCACACAGCAAGGATGCCAGAGAGGCAAGCCCTGGCCTCTGCAGTCTTGAGGAATTGTGCTTCTGTCGCAGGGGTGATGGAGTGCTGAGAATCCACCCGCTGCGGACTGCATGCTTGTGTCCCTCAAAATTCACATCTTGAAGCCCTCATCCCCAGTATGATGGTATTTGGAGATGGGGTCTTTGGGAAGTGATTGGAGTTAGATGAGGTTACGAGGATGGGGTCTGCCTGAAGAGATGAGTGTCCTTATAAAAACAGAAACACAAGAGGTCCTTCTCCCTCCCACCCTCCCACCAGGCCCTGAGTGCACCCACCAAGGAAAGGCCATGTGAGGACATACGAGAAGACAGCCTTGTGCAAGCCAGGAAGAGATCTGGCTTCCAAACGCCAGGCTCCAGATCTGCCCGGTTTATAGTATTCAGCAGCCCAAATTGACTAAGACACAACCTTCATAATGCAATTTGCCTAACTCAGTGGTTATAAACTCTGGAGCACCTTACAACCACTCTGCTAATCTTAAAAGATGATACCCAGGCCGGGCACGGTGGCTCATGCCTGTAATCCCAGCACTTTGGGAGGCAGAGGCGGGTGGATCATCTAGGGTCAGGAGTTCAAAACCAGCCTGGCCAACATGGTGAAACCCCATCTCTAATAAAAATAAAAAAATTAGCCAGGCATGGTGGTGGGCACCTGTAATCCCAGCTACTCAGGAGGCTGAGGCAGGAGAATCGCTTGAACCCAGGAGGCAGAGGTTGCAGTGAACCAAGATCACACCATTGCACTCCAGCCTGGGCAACAGAGCAAGAAAAAAAAAAAAAGACGGTGCCCAAGCCCCAAAAACAGACATCCAGGCCCATGGAAGAGAATAGAGAGCCCAGAAACAAATCCACACAGTCACAGTCAGATGGTCTTTGACAAGACCGGGAACACACACTGGGGGAAAGGACAGGCTCTTCTATAAAGGGTGCTGGAAAAATAGGAGAGCCACATGCCAAATAATGAAACTCATCTCCCTCCATCTACAAAAATCAACTCAAAATGTATTAAAGACTTAAATGTAAGACCTGAAACTAGACATCTACTAGAAGACAACAGTGAAAAAAACTCCATGGCATTGGTCTGGGCAATGATTTCTTGAATATGACCCCAAAAGCACAGGCAACAAAAGCAAAAGAAAATTTTAAAAGACACAAAAATCACACAGAAGCTAGCAGCTAACAATCAAAAAAGCTCCTGATGTATGAGGTGTCAGACGTCCAAGACCATTGTCCACTGTTCCAGTGCCAGAGTCCCCCTTTGTTTCCAGGCCCCTCGGTCCTTCACTTCCTTCCAAGCCTTCAATGGCCCTGCTCACACTTCCCAGCAGTCACCAGACACTGTCCACAAGGTCAGGCACGTCCCAAGAGCATCAGAGCAATGCAGGCCCAACGCAGGACCACCTGCCCTTTGACGCACCACGGGATGGAGTGAGATGGAGGGCTGGACAGACAGAGTAGGACCGCGGCCCAGCGGCGCACCCTCGGCAGCAAGGGCTGCAGATCCTACGTTGCCTTCCTTGGTGCATTCTCTAAGATGTTTCAAAGATGACTACTTGGGTTCAAAAGTGAGCACGCCAACTCCCCCAATGCCCGAAGACGCCGGCATCTGAGCCCGCTGATTGACACTGGCTTCACACGCACTAAGAATTCCCTGATCTCTTCTCTTTAATAAGCCATTCTCGAAAGGTCTTCATTACTTCCTAATTGTCGGAATTCATTTGCTTCATTTTTCTGGTTAAGAAACATTTAAAAAATTAATCTCCAACCTTGGGCTGCTGTTAATTTAAAAGCTCCTCCACGCTTATTAATGGCATCATTTGTTCTATCAATCTTACCCTACAACCACAGTGCCACCCGTGTGAATGCACACACACGTGCACACACACACACACTGATTTCAAAGTCCTTCCTTTGTTCTCTCTCTTTCTGGTTAAAAATTTGATTCAACGGGCGCAGTGGCTCACTCCTGTAATTCCAGCACTTTGGGAGGCCGAGGCAGGCGGATCACTAGAGGTTGGCAGTTCGAGACCAGCCTGACCAACACGGAGAAACCCCGTATCTACAAAAAATACAAAACCAGCCGGGCATGGTGGCGCATGTCTGTAATCCCAGCTACTCGGGAGGCTGAGGAAGGAGAATCGCTTGAACCCGAGAGGCAGAGGTTGCGGTGAGCTGAGATCGCGCCACTGCACTCCGGCCTGGGCAACAAGAGCAAAACTCCGTCTCAAAAAAAAAAATTTTTTTTTATTCTTTCATCCATCCCATAACCACTGTCCCTGTAATATCTACTTGACTTTTATTTTGTAGCTATTTATTTTTATATATTTAGGAGGCAGGAGTGCAAGCTTCTTACTTGTACATATTGCATAGTCATGGAATCTGGGCTTTTAGTAGATCCATCTCTCAAAGAGTGAACATTGAGATGTTAGAGGTCACTCTGTGAACACTAGAATAGAAACAGGGCAGGTGGGCATGCCCTCTCTTTGAAGAACCCCAGGCTGCTCTGGGATCAATTTCACAGGCGGCTACAGGTCCACTCCCAGCTTCCCTCCTCCCTGCAACGGGTGCCGTCCTTGCCTCCCTCTCTCTTCAGTTCCTGGAAAGCCGTCATGATGGTGAGGTCATGGGAAACTAGTCGGACTCCACCCCTGCCTCATCCTGCTTACCCCACCCTGTCCTCCAGGACCTCCCGCCAAGGGTGTGGAAAAAAATGCTCCGCCCAGATCTCTGCTGCTTTGTGTCTCATCCCTCCTGATATCCACCATAACACTAAACACAGCACTTGGGCATCAGAAGCCCACAAATATTTGTTGAAAAATTAATTAGACAGTACCTAACATGAGAACGTCCATTTGTTTTATTAGTCAACATCCAGGAAGAATATCCACTACAATTAGAAGAGCAAGCACGTTTCCTCTCAAGTGCTGACTCCAAATGATCACAGTCCCCCCAACCTGCAGATGATACTGAAGCTGCCTCTGGGATCAGAAGGAAGGAGCATCGGCAGCGGCTACGACCCATCATCACGCTGGGCCCGAGAGAGCGGCTGGTGGTGCGGGCAGGGTGCCAGTCAGCGTTCTCTGGAGAAATGGAACCAACAGGAGAGAGAGAAAAAAAAGATATACACACAGATCTAGACATAGATGGAGAGGGAGAAATGCTAAAGAATTGACTCACGGCATTGTGGGGGCTGGCAGGACAGACCAGCAGGACTGGACACTCAGGTAAGAGCTGATGGGCCGGGCACGGTGGCTCATGCCCATAATCCCAGCAGTTTGCGAGGCTGAGGTGGGAGGACTGCTTGAGGCCAGGAGTTACAGACCAGCCAGGTCAACATAGCAAGACCTTGTCTCTACAAAAAATTTAAAATTAGCTGGGTGTGGTAGCTTGCACCTATATAATCCCAGCTCCTCAGGAGGCTGAAGCAGGAGGATCACTCGAGCTGAGATCACGCCACTGCACTCCAGCCACGGATGGTGGTGTAAGACCCTGTCTCAAAAAAATGTTAAAAAAAGAACCAATGATGACTGATGTTTCAGCATTGAGTCCAAAATCTGCAGGGCAGCCCAGCAGGCTGGAAACTCAGGCAGGACTTCTATGTTACAGTCTTCAGACAGGATTCCTTCTTCGCTAGGAGCCCTCAGTTTTGGCTCTTAAGGCCTTCAGCTGATTGGGTGAGGCCCACCCATATACTGGAGGGTAATTCCCTTTACTTAAAGCCAACTGAGTGTAAACGTTAATCATATCTACAAAATATGTTCACAGCCAGGCACGGTGGCTCATGCCTGTAATCCTAGAACTTTGGGAGGCCAAGACGGGAGGATAGCTTGAGCCCAGGAGTTTGAGAACAGCCTGGGCAACACAGTAAAACCCCATCTTTACAAAAAATAAAAAAATAAAAACATTTGTCAGGCACGGTGGCACATGCCTATGGTCCCAGCTACTCAGGAGACTGAGATGGAAAGATCACTTGAGCCTGGGAGGTTGAGGCTACAGTGAACCATAATCGTGTACTGCACTCCAGCCTGGGTAACAGAGTGAGACCCTGTCTCAAAAAAAAACACAAATATATATATTCACAACATCTGGACTAACATTTGACCGCACAGCTGCACAGCCTAGCCTAGCCTAGCCTGGTCAGGTTGACACCTAACATTGACCATCACAGGTACCATTAATTTTCCATCCCTAGTATAGGAGTTCCCCCCCATCTAATCTGCTGTACCTTTGAGAAACCCTTAAGACAGTGCTGATGGCATCCATCCAACAGGTTCTCAGTGACGCCACCTCTTCACGGAATATGGAATTCATAAAGCTGATGCTTGACTGTAGAATTTAGAAGCCTCGAGGACTTTCAGAATTCAATCAGAAAGTTCCTTGAGGCCCAAAGACATGTCAGTGTGTGTGAGTCTATCCCGATTTCCTGGGAAGTCCCCCCTTCACAGCCTTCAAAGTCGACAGTTTCCTCCCCTGTAACAGAAAAAGGGGAAGTGGGAGAGAAATGTAAAGAAAAAGGGGAAGTTCATATCCAATGGGCACTAATGGTTTAATGTGCCAAAATGAATTGATTTTCTGTTAAAAGCCAAAAGGCAGCAGTTAGACTAAATACGCCTTCCCTTGCTTGTGGCCTGTGTGCATGGTAATGTATGGATGCAATACAAGTTAATTGGTTTTGTTGGGATTCACCAAAGAAAAAATTGCAGAATCCAATTTCTACCACTAATTAGAATTTCTGAGAGCACCGTAGTAAAAACCGATTATCCACTTCCTCAGTCATTTTCTAATCTTCTTGATCAAATTTATGCACTCAGTCTCTCTAGTGAGTCCCCAATACAGCCTTCTATCAAATCTGTATAATTAGTGCGCCCTGCAGATAGTCGCAGATTTTCTGCCCTGGCTAACAGTTGGGAACCAGTGAACGTCTCTGTTTGCTCAGCTTTCTCTCTCCAACCTACGAGAGCCCCAGTTAAGTCTCACACCCTCCATAAGACTTTGCCCAGTCATGGAGACCACGTGGTCTCACATGGTTTTGGCCCTCGGAGCCCCTCCCCATAGCCTCATTTGACATTAATATGTTATGTTGTTTAGCACGTCGTGATAACTTCCCTCTGCATCAGAACTGCACATTTTTAGAATAGTAGCTGTATCTTCTATCCCATTATTTTGGTCAACAAATGCTCCGAGAATGATGTCCCTTTAGAGGGGCATCTTCCACACTCTAAAAATTATCGTAACGATAGTCATTTGGCAGATACCTGACAAAGTACTTCTCCACATTATTATCCTGTTGGGCAGTCCCAATGCCCCTGTGAGGTCAGTCGATGTCTCTGGCACGCACGTCCGTGTGAAGAGACCACCAAACAGGCTTTGTGTGAGCATCAAGGCTGTTTATTTCACCTGAGTGCAGGCAGGCTGAGTCCAAAAAGAGAGTCAGTGAAGGGAGACAGGGGTGGGGCCATTTTATAGGATTTGGGTAGGTCATGGAAAATTACAGTCAAAGGGGGTTGTTCTCTGGCGGGCAGGGGCAAGGGTCACAAGGTGCTCAGTGGGGGAGCTTCTGAGCCAGGAGAAGGAATTTCACAAGGTAATGTCATCAGTTAAGGCAGGAACCAGTCATTTTCACTTCTTTTGTGATTCTTCACTTGCTTCAAGCCATCTGGATGTATTGGATGTATACCTGCAGGCTTTGGCTCAGAGGCCTGACATTCCTGTTGTCTTATATTGATAAGAAAAACAAAAAAAGATAGTGTTGAAGTATTGGGGTGGTGAAAATTTGGGGGGTGGTATGGAGAGATAATGGGCGATGTTTCTCAGGGCTGCTTTGAGCGGGATTAGGGGCGGTGTGGGAACCTAGAGTGGGAGAGATTAAGCTGAAGGAAGATTTTGTGGTAAGGGGTGATATTGTGGGGTTGTTAGAAGAAACATTTGTCATATAGAATGATTGGTGATAGCTTGGATATGGTTTTGTATGAATTGAGAAACTAAACAGAAGATATAAGATCTGAATAAGAGAAGAAGAAAAACAGGTATTAAAAGACCAAGAACTGGGAGGACCCAGGGCATCTAATTACAGAGTGCCCAAGGGGGTTCAGCATAATTACTTGCTTGGTTGACGAGTTTTTGGGCTCTATCCTTGACAGAGTCCTCCTTTCTAAGTAGGAGGCTGAGCTTGGTGAAGAGTGTTTTTAAAAGACCATTAGTCCATTCTACCTTTCCTGAAGACTGAGGACAGTAAGAGTTATGAAGGTTTTACTGAATATCAAGAGCCTGAGAAACTGCTTGGGTGATTTGACTAATAAAAGCCGGTCTGTTATTGGACTGTATAGAGGTGGGAAGGCCAAACCAAGGAATTATGTCTGACAGAAGAAAGAAATGATCACGGTGGCCTTCTCAGACCCTGTGGGAAAGGCCTCTACCCATCCAGTGAAAGTGTCTACCCAGACCAAGAGGTATTTTAGTTTCCTGACTGGAGGCATGTGAGTAAAGTTAATTTGCCAGTCCCAGGCAGGGGCAAATCCCTGAGCTTGATGTGTAGGGAAGGGAGGGGGCCTGAACAATCTCTGAGGAGTAGTAGAATAGCAGATGGAACACTGAGAAGTGCTTTCCTTGAGGGAAGATTTCCACGATGAAAGGAAGTGAGAGGTTCTAAGAGGCAGGGTAGCAGCTTGTAACCTACATGGAAGAGGTTATGAAATGACGACAGAATAGAATGGGCCTGTGAGGCTGGAAGGAGATATTTTCCTTGGTCCAAGCACCATTTGCCTTGTGTGGGAAGAGATTGATCGGTGGACGTTTCAGTGGGGGAGTAGGTGGGAGTGACCGATGAGAAGGAGAAAAACTGCCGTAAGGGACAGAAGTTGGAACGCTAGCTGCTTTTTTAGCTACCTTATCAGCATAAGCGTTACCCTGAGTGATGGGATCTGATGCCTTTTGATGGCCCTTGCAGTGAATGACTCCAGCTTCCTTTGGAAGTAAAGCGGCCTTGAGGAGAGTTTTTATTAAAGGGGCATTAATGATGGAGGACCCTTGTGTAGTGAGGAAACCTCTTTCTGCCCATATAACAGCATGGTGGTGCAGGATACGAAGGCATATTTACAGTCAGTATAAATATTGACACATAGTCCCTTTACAAGAGTGAGGGCTCGAGTTAAGGCAATGAGTTTGGCTTGCTGAGAGGTAGTGGAGAGGGGCAGAGCGGTAGCCTCAAGGATAGATGTGGAAGATACTATAGCATAACCTGCTTTTGCTGGTGAGTGGTGATTAGGCCTGGTGGAACTGCCATCAATAAACCAAATGTGATCAGGGTGAGGAACAGAAAAGAAGGAAATATGGGGAAATGGAGTGAATACCAGGTGGATTAGAGAGATACAGTCATGGAGGTCAGGTGTGGTATCAGGAATAATGTGGGAGCCAGCCTAAAACAGTAAGGTCAAGTTGTTTGGACAGAAAGGCTACACGGTGCAGTCCCAGCTCTTGTGTAAGAATTTCGACCACAAAGTCCTGCACTTCGGCTCTGTGTAATGAAAAAGGGTTGGGATGAGTTAGGGAGAGCTGGTGTGGGAGCAGCTTCCAGGGCTGTTTTTAAGGAACAGAAAGAGGAGTGGGGAATGGATCTTTTAGGATCTATGGGGTCAGCTAGGTTTTCTTTTGTAAGTTCATATAATGGTTTAGTCAGGATGGTAAAACTAGGTACCCAAAGGCGGAAGTACCTGATCATGCCTAGGAAGGAAAGGACTTGTTGCTTCGTAGAAGGGGTTGGGGTTTGGGAGATTAGCCAGACATGATTAGCAGGGAGAGCATGTGTGTTTTTATGAAGAATTATGCCAAGATAGGTAACAGAAGAGAATTTCTCAGAATTTCTCAGAAATTTGGGCTTGACTGAAGTAACGGGGGTCATCCGTGAAGCCTTGTGGCAGTACAGCCCAGGTAATTTGCTGAGCCTGATGGGTGTCAGGGTCAGTCCAAGTGAAAGTGAAGAGAGGCTGGGATGAAGAGTGCAAAGGAATAGTAAAGAAAGTATGTTTGAGATCCAGAACAGAATAATGGGTTGTGGAGGGGTTGTGGAGGGAGGTATTGAGGATAGGAAAGTATATGGGTTTGGCACTTCAGGGTGGATAGGCAAGACAATTTGGTTGATAAGGCGCAGATCCTGAACTAACTTGTAAGACTTGTCTGGTTTTCGGACAGGTAAAATGGGGAATTGTAAGGAGAGTTTATAGGCTTTAAAAGGCCATCCTGTAACAGGCAAGTGATAATGGGCTTTAATCCTTTTAAAGCCTGCTGTGGGATGGGATATTGGCATTGAGCGGGGTCAGGGTGAT